ATCTCCAGTTTTTTAAATAAAATGATTTATTCAAATGATATTGACTCAAAATTTTAATTTAATTTTTATTAAGGAAGACAGTTATCAAATATTATGAATTAATATCAGTTAAGTTTCGATAAAAAGCATTAAAATTATCATATAGATATATTTATTTTTCATAATTGATTTTATATAATTTTTATGCAAGCACATAACAACACGTAAAATAAATAACTAAACAAATAGAAATATTTTACCTCAAAATTTTTTAGATGTAAATTCACATTTAATTGTCAATTCTAAATTCTGAAAGTTTTATCAAACTTTGATAAAAGAATTATATAGGGATAAAAGGATTAGAATTAAAATTAAAAAAAATAAGGACAAAAGAGAATTATATATCAAAATATAAAAAAAAGCATAATATATTCACTATATGTATATTTATATAATACATATAATGTAACAAAACTCAATCTTAAAGATGTGACACGTACACAATATATAATAATTGCAAATGAGATCTACATCATGCCAATAAGCGGCTGCATCTACTAAATAAAAATAAAAGAACAAAAGAAAAGAGAAGCGTATTCTTAAATATATTAAGGAACTTTCGATGTTCTTCATCGAAAATATAGCAAATAAAACAAAAAAACATGTAATATTTTGTGTAATAATATGTAAAAAAGAAAAAGCAAATATTACTCCGATATTAAATTTTATGCCTGTCGTCTGTCCCTACTAGCAAATAATGCAACAGGTACGAATGTTTTTATTTCGATTGCAGTGTTCTTTATATTTTTTGGAAGTTCGTTTCTAGTCACAACTGCATTGAAACCATTACAATCATCCACCATGTAAGAAACGATACGGACAGCTCCATCTGCTTCGACCACCGAATATTCTCCTTTAACTATATCTCCATCTCGCTCCTCCAATGCAGATTTGGAGTCGCCGGTATATCCATCGATCACGCCATAATTAAAGGAATATTTAGGATATGCCTGAGATAAAAATGAAAAAGAAAATCTTGATAAAAGAGACGATATTTTTCTCAAAAAATTTGTTAATATAAGATATGCACATGTGTATACACACACACACACACACACACACACACATACATATATATATATATAATATATACGTACATATACGTATAGTTAATTAGCTCCCTCGTACAGAGAGCCAGAGAGAGTTAGCTTAAAATTCAAATAAAAAATGGGCGCGTTCAATTTGGCAAAGTGGCTAGCCTGTAGCTCGCCCATTGGCAGCCATTGAATATGATTGATTGTTAGTTGTAGATCCAATCATTGCAATCACATTCAATATTTCAATCGCTCGATAAACAGGCTAACCGCTTTGTTCGGATTGAACGCGCCCATCAACTGCAGTCGTTAAGAATCAGTTATATTGTATTTACCATATGTTGAATATCTTTTTCCAACGTTTTCGGTTCTGTAGCTACAATAGCTGACGCAGATTTGACAATGGCACAACGTATATCAAGGGAAATGTTCTCGGTAAAGGCTTGTATAATAAAGGTGCTGATACTTTAACGTAGGCAGGTAGTTGAATGTCACTGGTTGGTTCAGGCTCACTGTTGATCTCGGTTGATATAGATTTAAACGCACACGCGATAGCTGGCTCTGCACTGATGATTGGTGATGACGGTGATGTCGAATCGACAGATGCACACGAGAAAGCTTGTCTTGTGTTTCCGAATGGTCGAGAGGAATGTCTATCGCGAGCATTATAAACTTATATATTAATTCTTTCTCTTGCGCTCTCTTGTGCTTTATATAAATATAAATTTATATATATATATAATATATACTTATAGTTCTGTATGAATAAAGTTTTTACAGAATGCATATATATGTATGTACACACACACATACGTACATACACCTGTATAAACTTACCCTCGAGGAAGATTCGCTCGACTAAAACTGAGAGAAGCGCACAGAAAAAAATATCTGGGAACACACACAACAAAATATCGTGTTAACTTTTCACAAATGATATTGCGAGTCATAAAGATATATTTTACATGGCTTATAATACATATAATCATTATATTATAATTAATTGCATCAGACGGAATTGGAATCGAACGCAAAGCTAACTCTAATTCGATGTTTCGTAAGATTCTATTTTGATAGACACACGCGCGTGTTTTTCTAGCGTGATAATATCTATAAACAATCAGAACAGTTGGAGTAAATTAGGACAGTGCCTCCAAGTTGCAGCGTGAGTTAATTTTCCTATCTACATCAAAAAGCGATTCGCGTTTCAAATCTGATGATTCTTCTCGTTATCTATAAATTAATATTCATACTCCAGGGAGAGATAATAAATATAAATTGAATCAATGTCGATCCTATTTTTATTTCT